CCACCAACCAAGACAGCAAATCCAGCAATACTGATCCCAATTGCTAGTCCAATCCTGCGATCATTTCCTGGCTTGGGGCTATAAGCACTGGCAACGGGGCTGAGCGCAGGAACTGCAACAACCGATGACGTGTTATCGGTTGCAATGTCCACCTTATGGTGATCAACCAGCGACGTTGAATTAAAATTCCATGAGACGATCTTAAACAGAGCAACAGAGCTGCCCGTTGAAGCAGAGAACCCAACAACCACCCAATCCGGCAAATAGTCTTTCAAATCAACTGTGTAATGAAGATAATTAATCACTTGGATATGACCCAGAATTGTAGTGTATGCAACACTCAGGTTTTTTGAGGTTGAATTATAACTAACAGTAGCGCTATTTTCTTTCCCTTTCAAAATGCCTGCACTCCAACTCTGGTAAATAACAGAGTTGAGTGAATTGATGTCGATGCCCACGTGATCGTACCGGGGATCGTTGATGATTGGCTGTACATTCTGGTAAATGTCAAACTCCACGGCAACAAAAGGGTACTGGTTCCTCGGACCGGCGTCGTTTGATGAAGGCGTGGTGTTGACGGGGAGGCCGAGGCTGCTGCCGGCAGCTATTGTTCGGTTGAGTGAGGACCCATCTGGGGCGATGAAGAAAGTGAGGCCGTCGCCGTAGTTGGTGTTGTTGTTGGAGTCGATGGCGAACTTAAAAAAGGCGGTGAAGTCTGCGAGTTTTCCGGTGTCATTTTCGCGGAGAAGGAAGGGCTGGCGGTAGGTGGCTCGGCCTACGCTGACGTTTATTGCGACGTCGGAAGCGCTTTTGGTGAGGCGGAGGAATTCGTTGTCTAAATAAGCGTCGCCTTCTGTGGATATATTGGTGTTGTCATTGCCGTTGAAGCTGGAGAAACTGAAGTTTAATGGGGTTGCAGGAGGGGTTAACAGAAAGAAGAGAAGAAGAAGGAGGAAGTGAAGCTTGGTTGGTTGTAGTGTGAATGTGGTGATGGCAGAGTTGCAAGTGAGAACCATTTTGGGGGAGAGCATGAGACTCTGAGAGAGAATGGAGTTTGCATTATTGCTTGTCATCATAAAGAGCAAGCTAGAGCAGGAAGAGCTGGAATTGAAGTCCAGAAAGAAAGGGACCGGGAAGACTTTTAAGTTTCCTGACAAGTGGGTTGACTCCAAGTCAATGAAGCTTTCAACTTTCTGATTTTAGTAGGAAGGAGGGAGGAAGTTGTGATGGAAAACACAAACACGAGGCGTAAATTAAGGAGGGGGAGAAACGTCTCATCTAAGTTCTATGTATATTGGTTACATCATGTGACGTATTGCCGAAGAATTACACGTTCGTTCATATAAAATGGATTAAGAGCGTATTTGAAATTGGAAATGTTGTTTTGGTCCAGTTAAAATGGGAATATGGTTTTTCTTCTAAAAGCACTTTCACTCATTTGCCATGACAAAAGGCAAAGAGGAGGCAAGGACTATTACTATTCATGTGAATAGTGACAGTCCTTATAAAAGGCTTGTGGTGTTTCCACTCATTGCCATGTTAACCACTATTCACATGAGATATGAGGAGAGGAATATGTATAAAGTTTTGCTGTGGGAATTGAAAAATATGAATAAGTATTTATTTTTTAAAAATTCTGAAATTTTTAATATTTGTTTTTATTTTTTCCCTTTTTATTTTTTTCGTTACTAACGTCAGCAAATGCAGACTAGATCAAGGGCTGGTTTTGCCAGAGAACCAGCCCAGGCTTGTGGAGCCCACTCACAGCCCAGACACATTTGTCCGTTGGAAGTGAGAAAAAAGCCTGGCCCCCCTCCTGCCCTTGCCTTGGGCAATGACTGGAACTGCTCTAGTCAAGTCATTATCGTAACACAATTCAAACAAGACTTAGTAGTTTCTAAATGTGTCGTTATGTTATGTAGGGGCATAAATCACTACACCAGAATATATTTATTATGGCGCACAAAGCACGCCGTGAATTATCAATCACGACGCGAAACATGCAAGCAATAAAAGCCCGTGTCGTAAATAGTGTTCCTCAATCATGGCGTATGTGGTTAATGGTCCCATATTCAATGCGATCACACCGGAATCCAACTCAGCTTCTTCATCTTAGAACCAATATCTCAGAAACCCCAATACGTACGTGGTTAAGATGACACCACGTATATAATGGTCAACGTGCATGCAAAGAAGATATGGATCAGCCAGCCACCAAGGTGATGGTCGTCCCAATTACCAACCAAAGACTCAAAGAGGGAGAGAGACGAGAGGAGAGAAGGCTTTCTCTTTTTCTTTATTCTTTCCCCTTTTTCGCCTTTTGCCAGCACAGAGAGACAAGAGTGAGAGACAAGAGTGAGAAGGACAACAATCAAGAATTGGCTTTGATGGGATATGATCACATGGGCTCATCATATCATCGTGTACACACTTAGAAGTTAGACTTGTCAATTGTCAGTCATTTCCATTGGATAGAGACACAGGTAATCTCAGAGAAAAAAATTTCCAGATCTTACTAACAAACATACTGTAAAATCATATCTTATGTATTTAAATATATTATAAATGACGCCATACAATACTATATGGAGATCTCAAAACATGTAATTAACATATTTCGTAATAATTAAATTCTTGTACAAGTTTACGTGGCGTTTGGTATTCTACTTTGATAAATAACTTAAAAACTTTGATTTTTCTTAAAAACAAATTGTGCTCTCAAATCCATTTTTTAAGAAAATTTGTTTGGTTAAATTTTTTGAAATAATTTTTAAAACAAAATACCAATTAATTATTTTTTAATTGAAAGAGAAAGGAAAAATAGAGAAGAAGAGGAAGATAAATCAATGTAGAAGTAGAAGTTCATGTGCATGTGTTGAACTGTGAGGAATTGGTGTTGAAATCATAGCCTGAGGGGTTCGTTTCACTGACCTCTCTGTTGGAAAGACCAGTAGCACTATAACAAGAATGCATTGGGAGTGATGTTGGAGGAGCAGAATAGGTCTCCACCATGGACATGTTTGATGAGGGAATGGGCAGTGGAACTTCAAATCTAAGCATTTGCATTGATTGAAGTATCGAAGGCCTGATCTTATAATTTTTGTGAGCACACCACAACCCAACAACCAATAAACACTCCATTTGCTTGTCATCAAAATCTCCACATAGTTTTGGGTCGGCTGCTTCAAGGACTTTCCCTTCTGCATAAGGCTCCCAAACCCAGTCCACCATACTGACTTGATTACTTGTCAACTTGAGATCAACAGGTTTCCTTCCGCAGGCTATTTCCAAAGCAACAACGCCGAAGCTGTATACATCTGATTCCTTGCAAGCTTTTCCTGTAGCAACATATTCAAGAGCCATGTAACCCCTTGTTCCAGCCACGTTCCTCGTCGTTTCTGGTTGTTTTCCATGGTCCACAAGTTGAGCTAATCCGAAATCTCCAAGTTTTGGGTTGAAATTTGAATCCAACATAATGTTGCTAGATTTGATATCTCTGTGGAGTACACATTTTTCCCATTCTTTGTGTAGATATAACAAGCCGGAGGCTAAACCTTGAACAATTTTGTACCTTACCTCCCAAGTTAACAAGTTTTTTGCTTTGAATAGATGAAAATCCAACATATTCAAGAGCCATGTAACCCCTTGTTCCAGCCACATTCCTCGTCGTTTCTGGTTGTTTTCCATGGTCCACAAGTCGAGCTAATCCGAAATCTCCAAGTTTTGGGTTGAAATTTGAATCCAACATAATGTTGCTAGATTTGATATTTCTGTGGAGTACACATTGTTCCCATTTTTCGTGTAGATATAACAAGCCGGAGGCTAAACCTTGAACAATTTTGTACCTTACCTCCCAAGTTAACAAGTTTTTTGCTTTGAATAGATGAATATCTAAACTGCAGTTGGGCATGAACTCGTAAACAAGTAGGAGTTCTCTTTTCTCATGGCACCAACCAATGAGTTGGACTAGATTCCGATGCCTAAGACGACTGATGATTCTTACTTCAGACGCATACTCCTTTCGTCCTTGTAGACACTCTCTTAATAGCGACATATGAGTTCAAGCCTTTTAAGAAGCCTCTATAAACCGCACCAAACCCTCCCTCTTCGAGCTTTTCTCCCTCCTCAAAATTTCTTGTTGCATGAGCCAACTCCGTGTAGGAAAACTTCCTGGGGCATGTTCGCTTTTCAAATTTGTCATTGGAATCATTCAGCAGGGATCTTCCTCACTTTCTCCTGCTGTTTTCCGCTTGTTCCACCCCAAGATGAAGCAAACAAAGCATAAAGCTCCAACCAAGGCAATGCATCCACCAACACCCAATGCAACCGCTCGTTGTCCTTGTTGAGAACTAGTGCTTGGCAGAGGAACTACCGAGTTCACTCCACTCGTTCCATTGTCATCATCGGGAGAAGAGTTAAAATTCCAAGAGGTGATCATATGCACAGCAAATTTAGCACCCGTGGCAGCAGAGAACCCAACAATGACCCTATCCGGCAAGTAGCTCAAATCAACTCTCTGATTTAGATAACTACTCACTTGGGTACCATTTAGAATGGTAGTGAAGGCAACCAGAAGAGTTTGTGAGGTAGAATTATAACTAATGGTAGCACCATTTTCTTGTCCATTCATAATACCACCATCCCATGTACTATTGGTAATAGACTTGAGAGAGTTGATGTCAATACCCACATGTTGGAAAATAGGGTCCCCAATGTATGACTCTTTATATCCTTATAGATATCAAATTCCATCACCAAAAAATACTTATAAGATTTTCTACCAAACGTTTTCAGTTGTCTCTATTTGAGCTACAAGTTTCCTTACAATTCCTAGGGTACTAATTAAGAAATGTGCTAGGTTTGCTTAATAATAGTAGTGCATGTAAAGTAGCAATGTTGCATTAATTCATAACGGGCGTAAATTAATACGCTAACTATCTAATTAAAAATACTCCCAAGTGTACGAATCTATTAGAGTATAGATTTGTAAATACGAGGTCGTTCTCACGAGAACTTGATAGTTTATAAGCAAATGTAGTTTGAATATGTTAAGAACACTTAATTTAAACACAATCACAAGAAATAAAACAAGAAAAGTGATAGTCCACATTAAATGAAACACTTTATTAAATTTGAACACTTAATTTAAGAAATGTCCTAGGTTTGCCTAATAATAGTAGTGCATGTAAAGTAGCAACTCTTCAATTTTTTTTTTTTCCTTTTGGTTCTTAAATCTATTGTCATCTGTTCTTTTCTTTTTTCTTTTTTTTAGTATAAGCGATAGTATAAATAAGAGGGGAGGGGGGATTTCTCACACATACACACAATTATGATATCGTGGGGATTCGAACGTGAGACCTCTGGTTTGCAAGTAAAGGCACTTTTTCACTTGGCTAGACCCCGGTGGCATTGTCATCTGTTCATATCGAGATGTCTTTCCTCACACAAAAATGCCAAAATATAATCTGGTCAAACTCATCAAAGAATCTCAACTAAGAAAATTGGATTAGAGGTCTAGCTCAGTGGAAAGGCATCAACTTGCAGACCAGAGGTTTCAAGTTCAAATCTTCAGGGCATCATAGTTGTGTGTGTGAGAGAAATCCCCCTCCCTTGTAGTTTTTAGACTATCACTTATACTGAAAAAAACAATAAATAAATAAATTGATTAGACCCATCATACTACAAGTTTGTAGCTATATATGCCTAACAAAATATTCAATGCCGAGATGTGCGGACTGTGTGACTTCACAGAGCCTCACCGAGATGTGCGGACTGTGCGACTTCTCCATGTATGGCGTCTAACATGATGTGTTGTGAATATATCACTTCTACTCAGTTGTCTTCAACTTTGATCCTATTTATTGATATTGTTCATTATTAAGGGGATATAATGGTCCTTTTGAATTTGATTTTAGGTTTGTAAAACAAAATTGGATACTAAAAACCTAAAATTGAAGTGATTAAATAGTACGCCCACACCAAATGGAAGCCCACACGTTTTGTGTTTATTGATTATTATTTTTTAATTTTTAATTTTTAATTTATTTTAATTTCATTTCATTTCATTTATTTTTTATTTTTTAAGACGAAACGTGATTGGCAGTTGGATGAGTGGGATTTGTGAAAATGAAATGTGGGTCCTAATGTCTCGTCTCCTGGTAAGTCACGGATAAACTGAACAAGAGAGACATGTTAACACAGAAAGGCCTCCGCAAATCCTTAAGCGAGAATTATTGGTGTCATAAAAAAACGTGACGACTTTACTGACACGTTCGTTTATAAAGGTGCGATGATTGTACACATCATATCAATAGTTGTGAATCAAATGTGAAGAAAGTTGAGTAGGTGAGGTTTTTCAGCGCGTCCGGTCTTTAGGAAAGACATACAGGGTAGGAGTGCTTGTGGTACACTATAGAAGGTGCCACTACTTTAAATGATGGTTTTAAAATATAAACGTGTATAGATATATATCATTTCTTATTGTGTAACTAAATTGATATTGAATTTGTGTATTATCAAAACAAAGAGTGCAATGCATAATCTCGTACAGGACAACAGTGGAATTACAAAAATTCTAAAAGTTTAGAATCAAAATTATTTAGTTAGGCTTCTTTCTTACCCAAGTGAAATTTTTGGATGAGAATTTGTGGCAGAAGAAGGTGCGCTGAACTGTGAGGAGTTAGTTTGGCCTGAAGACGACTCAGTTTGGCCTCCTTGAGAACCACTAATATCTCTAGACAACATTGAGAGCGATTTCGGAGGAGCAAAATAGGTGGCCACCGGCATCTTTGATGGGAGATTCGGCAACGGTACCTCAAAGTTAAGCACTTGAATTGCTTGTTGTATTGAAGGCCTCATGTTGTAGTCTGGATGAGCACACCACAACCCAACAATCATCAAGCACTCCATTTGTTTCTTATCAAAATCCCCACATAGTTTTGGGTCAGCTGCTTCATTGACTCTATCTTCTCCGTAAAGCTCCCAAACCCACTCAACCATATTGACTTTAGAGCTTCCAAACTTTGGATCGATGGGTTTTCTCCCACATGCTATTTCCAAAGCAACAACTCCGAAGCTGTAGACATCTGATTCTTTGCTAGCCTTTCCGGTGTTGAGATAATCCGGAGCCATGTAACCCATGGTTCCAGCCAAGATTGTGGTTTGCGACTGTTTTCCGTGGTCCACAAGTCTAGCTAACCCAAAATCCCCAAGTTTTGCGTTGAAATTTGAATCTAACATAACATTGCTCGATTTAATATCCCTATGCAGCACACATTGCTCCCACTCTTCATGTAGATAGAACAACCCAGAGGCCAAACCTTGAGCAATTTTGTATCTTGCCTCCCAAGTTAACAAGCTTTGTTCTTTAAACAAATGGGAATCTAAGCTTCCATTGGACATGAACTCGTAAACAAGTAGGAGTTCTCTCTTTTCGTGGCACCAACCAATGAGTTGCACCAGATTTCGATGCCTAAGTCGACTGATGATCCTTACTTCTGCTGCGTACTCCTTCAGCCCCTGTCTAGACCCACTTGATACCCTCTTAACAGCAACATATGAGTTCAAATCTTTTACGAAGCCTCTGTAAACCCCACCAAACCCTCCCTCTCCAAGCTTCTCTCCCTCGTCAAAATCATTTGTCGATTGAGCCAATGTCTTGTACGAAAACTTCTTTGGGCCTGTCCCCTTTTCGAATTCGTCATCGATTGGATCGTTGATAAAAGGATCTTCATCATTGTCGCTACTTTCCCCTGTTCCCCCCTTCTTCCAAAAAATGAACCAAACCAAACAAAACCCACCAACCAAAAGAACACACCCACCAACAACCAGCCCAACCACAAGTCCAATGTTGATGCCATTTCCTGACTCGGGTTCAACAATGGGGGTCGGCTCAGGAGCTACTGGTGTGTTGTTCTTTGCATTCTCATCAATCAGCGATGTCGAATTGAAACTCCATGATTTGATCTTGTGCAGAGCAGTCAAAGAACCTGTTGCAGCAGAGAACCCAACAATCACCCAACCCTGCAAAATCTCATTCACATCAACCATGTAATCAAGATACCTCTCAACCCAGACACCATTTTCGTAAGTAGTGAAGGTAACGCTAAGATTTTTCGATCCAGAATCATAACGAATCGAAGCACTATTGAATCGTCCCTCTGTAATGCTACCATTCCACGCCCCGGTAACTTTAGACTTGACAGAGTTGACATCAATACCAACATGATCGCCAGCGGGATCGTCGATAGACGTCCTTGCATTATGAAATATGTCAAACTCCACTGCCACAAACGGGTACAGATTCGTGGACTCGTTTTTTTCTGGGGTTATGACGGGGAGGCCAAGAGAGCCGCCTGTGCTTATTGTTGTGTTGAGTGCAGACCCGTTTGGCGCCAAAAAGAAGGCGAGCCCGTCTGCATAGAATGTTTTATTTTGCGAGTCGATGGCGAATGTGAAAGTTGTGGTGAAATCAGCGAGTTTTCCCGTGGCGTTGTCGCGGAGGAGGAAGGGTTGGCTGTAGGTGGCTCGGCCGACGCTTTGGTTTTTTAGGTCGTCAACAGCGCTTTTGGTGAGTCGGAGGAATTCCCCGTCGACGTAAGCATCTCCCTCGAGAGATAGGGTGTTGATGCCATTTGGGAAGGTGGGGAAACGGAAGTTTAGTGAGGTTGCACAAGGGGCTAAGTGAAACAAGAGAAGAAGAAGAAGGACAACCATTTCTAATTTGCTGATAAGGTTACAGATCAAATTGTTGGGTCTAAAATAGAGCGGAGACCTTAATATTTGAAAATGCTTTAATCAGCAGTTATTTGCTTACCAATTCAAATCAAAATAATTTTTACTTTCTAGCTTGACATGTATTTATTTAATTACTTATTTCTTTGTGCTGATGCAGGATTGCCGTCCTGGTATTTATGTATTTATTTAATTTAGTTTTGGAATTGAAATCGAACCTTCATTTTGATGTGAGTGATGTGAGTGATGTAGCGGGTTTTTATAACATTTTCTATTGTTATATACATGTTAAGCACGTTTTTGGAATTGAAATCGAAAAATTTTGGTTGCTGAATGAAAGACTAGAGATGATTGTTGAGTCCATGAAGCACTTTTCCAAGACTGGAAGCAGCGAGGAAGGAGAGGACCACGGGGATATCTTTTTTCTATTCTTCAAATCTCACCTACGCCCCTGTTTCTTCGAAGAAAAAGAATGCAAAGGATCTTAATACTCATCCAGTGCATTTCGCTAATAGAATTCCACAAGTATCACTTTCATTCAACCGGGACCTACATATTTGGAGACTTTCATTAGTCGTTTAGAGTTTGTGAGGCTTTCAACATGGTTAACATAATATCTATATTTATACGTCATCTGCATGTTAATATCGCTAAAAATTCAGTGCCAACAAAATCCAATTATGAAAGAATTGCAGTATAGATATTTTTGCAATATTAACTTATACAAACAAAAACCGGGAAAAGCTTTTGAGATTAGAAAAAAAAAATCGTTAAGATATTATTAGCATCACTATCTTGTCTTTGGCATATGTCCTTTTCTTGAGTGACAAACAAACTATATATAATATAATATATAAATATATAGAAACAAGTTAATTAACAATTTATCCAATTACCAATTAAATAATAAAAAATATTTGTTAAATTTTGCTATGTTAAGGAATAAAGGAGATAGGGACGTTGGTGATCATGATTCATGGCCATGTGCTTGAAAGCGGCGCAATATAATTTTATAGCAGAAAAGCTCAGCCTTTGAATTTCAATGGAGGGCTGGCTTGTTCTTTGTAACTTTAGTTTGTAACATTGGTGCATTGCATTTTCCTTTTAGTTTGTAATTTTAATTAACTTTGAATTGGATTTTCTTTTGGGTTGTAACTTTAATTCATTTTGCATTGCATTTTCCTTTTGGTTTGTAACCACGTAAAACGCGCACATATTAATGTCGTCCACCGCTGTAGGGTTGCTGGTGTCCTGCTTGATTTTCCTTTGCTTGCAATTGCAAATGGGAATGGATCAAAGAAGTGTTGTATAATGGCCGGAATTAATGTTGATAGAGTTATTTATTAACAATTGGACAAAGGAAAGAGGAAACATGCAGCAAATCACGTGAGAAAGCTTTGAATATTGGTGTGGAAGAGCAAGTGGAGCAAATTAACGAGGAAATGCCGAAATGTTTGACTCAAATATGTTTTGGGTGGTTTTGGCATTATTTTTGGGAGTCTAATTGATTGGTGACATGTGTAACACAACATGTGTGAAAGAAACTTTGTTTATTGTTTCCAAGTGGATGGGTGATTAATGTTAGGGGTCATCGTTAGGTCCACGAGCCCATGGCCGATGAGGTCTCATCAAGCCCATCAAGAAAAAGTCCAGTTTGAGCCGTTGTTGAGTGGGTTGGGTTTGGGTTTAGGTGTCTAAAGTCTGGCTCGGCCTATTGGCCCGGTCCGTTTGAGCCCAAAAAAGCCCAACCTGCCCATAAAAGCCCGGCCCACGAGCTCACATACATATAAATAAATATAATTATTAAAAAAAACCCAAGTTAAATGAAAGATGGAGAAAATCATTATCTATTATCATTGTAAAAACTAAAAAAAATGAAGTATTGGATAAAATATGAGTTTATTAATATGGCAGTTGTATAACTATATCTTTATATTTATGGAAAAAAACAAAAACAATGAAGTTATGAACAAAGAAAAAAATGGAGACATAAACATATAGACAAATGTAAATAGAGAACTATGAAAAAAAAAATTGGAAACATAGAAACACACCAAAACATAAATAAATAAATAAATAAATAAAAAAGAATTGACAAAAAAATCCATTAAAAAAAAACAAAATAAAGTAGGCCCATTTAGGCCGATGGGCTTTTTCAAGCCCAACTCATGGGATGGGTTTGGGCTTTGAATTTTCTAAAAAAATCCGGCCCAGCCAAACCCATTATTTTCTCTCTCCTCTTTAAAGCCCGGCCCAGCCCATTGACAAGGCCTACTTATTGTCAACAACAATGATGACTTCCTTGCTACGCACGTGGAGCTGTTGGTGAGTCTCTTGGCAGCTGGCCGCTGCACTTGTCTACATAGGGAGAGAGAGCATCAGTCAGTGTGTGGCCATTTTGTGCCGCACCATTTGGAGGTGCCGTGAGCACCATTGCCAGAGAGGCTAAAGCAGAAGTGAGAGACACTCCCACACAAAGAGAAACACCAGAGAGCATCACCATGATGGTGGAGATAAACTCCTCTTTGGCTACACGAGATGTTGAAGGAAGATCAAGCCATTTCAAAGGTTGAGTCTTCTTCATTTGTTCCTTGTGTTTGTGGGATGTTTATTTCTTTGTATTGTTCTTAGTGTATTCTTTCCTTGTGAACAAGAACAATCCATGTGTTCTTGGCTCTTGTGTGTGGTTAGCTTGAGAGTGACTTGGGTGTAATTGGAATTTGGGCTATGAGAGTTAAACTATGTAATTCCTAGGATAGGTGGGAAAGTTAATCTCCTTTGGTTGTAATCTCTTTTGGGATACTAGTGGAATTTCTCGTTGTCTTCAAACTGGATGTAGGCTACACACATGTTGAACCAGTATAAATCCTTATGTCGTTTGGATTTTTATATTTCATATTTTGCTCTTGTTGTTTCAACGGTTTCATATCCACCATCCTAGTGCAATCAACTTCTGCTGCCCACAACAAGAAGACTATTCTTAGTAGTTTCTCAATGTCTTTATGCATGAACCAGAAGAAAACATGACATTACGTGGGGACATGAATGAATGATTCCAACTTGATTTATGAATGAGACATGTAACGACTCACTACTGGTTTAATAGTCACAATACTGTGCATCTATGGCATCAAATATATCAACCACGTTCATTCTGTGGCTGAAAAATTATTAGATAAAGACCAGAGTAGGCTAAGTTAGCTGTGAATTGAATAAATAGAATAAGAAAATGAATTTAGTGTGTTGACTCCGAGTCAATAGAGACTGGGCAGACTTCAGAGGTAAATGTCCTTCTAATGTCCTTCTAATGTCCTTCTAATTTATGCATAATATCAATAAATATACACATGTTATGAATATATTAGTTACATCATGTCTCATCTCGTCAAAAAATTACTCTACAAATCCAATATAAGATCGATAAGAGTGTTTGAAACTGAAAATGTTGTTTTGGTCTAGTTAAAATGGGAATATGGTTTTTCTTCTAGTAATCGTACACAATCAAATAAGACTTTTAATAGTTTCTAGATGTCTCGTTCAACAAAAGGAAAAAAATTGTGTCGTTATGTTATGTAGGGGCATAAATGGTCCCATGGATGAATTCAATTGCGATCACACCCGAATCCAACTCATTCGTTAGTTTCACATTCCACTACGGCTCATTTCACATTCCATATGAGGTCAAACAATGCATTTGGAAGGAATCTCTGATGTAACTTCCATGTTAGAAGAAAGCAAATGGGAAGGTTGAAAATTGGCTTATTATCACAAAACGTCCCTAAGGTTTACTAAACTATCAGATTGCATCCTTAATATTTTTTTGTATCATTCATGGTCCTTAAGGTTAGTATGTGTGATCACAAATGGTCCATGCCGTTAGGTTCCGTTAAAAACTCCGTTAGTTTGCTGACGTGTCATATATTAATACACTAACTATCTAATTAAAAATACTCACAAGTGTACGAATCTATTAGAGTATAGATTTGTAAATACAAGGTCGTTCTCACGAGAACTTGATAGTTTATAAGCAAATGTAGTTTGAATATGTTAAGAACACTTAATTTAAACACAATCACAAGAAATGAAAAAAGAAAAGTGATAGTCCACATTAAATGAGACACTTAATTTAAGAAATGTGCTAGGTTTGCCTAATAATAGTAGTGCATGTAAAGTAGCTACTCATCAATTTTTTTTTTCCTTTTGGTTCTTAAATCTATTGTCATTTGTTCTTTCTTTTTTTTTTTTTTTAATTTAGTATAAGCGATAGTTTAAATAAGAGGGGAGTGGGGATTTCTCACATATACACACAATTATGATGTCGTGGGGATTCGAACGTGAGACCTCTAGTCTGCAAGTCAAGGCACTTTTTCACTCGGCTAGGCATTGTCATTTGTTCATATCGAGATGTCTTTCCTCACAAAAAAATGCCAAAATATAATCTGGTCAAACTCAAAGAATATCAACTAAGAAAATTGGATTAGAGGTCTAGCTAAGTGGAAAGGCATCAACTTCAGGGTATCATAGTTGTGTGTGTGAGAGAAATCCTCTTCATACTACAAGTTTGTAGCTATATATGCCTAACAAAATATTCAATGTTGAGATGCGCGGACTGTGTGACTTCACAGAGCCTCACAGAGGAAGAAATCTAAAAAGTAAAAACTAATGTGCGGACTGTGCGACTTCTCCATGTATGGCGTCTAACATGATGTGTTGTGAATATATCACTTCTACTCAGTTGTCTTCAACTTTGATCCTATTTATTGATATTGTTCATTATTAAGGGGATATAATGGTCCTTTTGAATTTGATTTTAGGTTTGTAAAACAAAATTGGATACTAAAAACCTAAAATTGAAGTGATTAAATAGTACGCCCACACCAAATGGAAGCCCACACGTTTTGTGTTTATTGATTATTATTTTTTAATTTTTAATTTTTAATTTATTTTAATTTCATTTCATTTCATTTATTTTTTATTTTTTAAGACGAAACGTGATTGGCAGTTGGATGAGTGGGATTTGTGAAAATGAAATGTGGGT